GCCTAATGTTCCAGAAAGAGGTCAAATTCCTAGGACATGTCGTGTCTTCGAAGGGGATAAGAACAGACCCAGATAAGATTACTTCAGTACGAGATTAGCCGAGGCCTTCAAATGTTCACGAAGTAAGAAGCTTCCTTGGCCTATGCACTTACTACAGACGATTTGTGGAACGATGTGCTGAAGCCACTACATCGGCTTACAGAAGAGAAGGTTCAGTACCAATGGACACAAGAGTGCGAAATATCATTCAGAACACTAAAATCAGCACTGTGTTCGAGTCCGGTTCTTTCATACCCAGAACGGAAAGGCCTCTACGTATTAGACACAGATGCCAGTAATTTTGGATTTGGATGTGTTCTTTCCCAAATTCAAAATGGACAGGAAAAAGAATTGAGTACTTCAGCAAGACATTGTCGAAGCCAGAACGTAACTATTGTGTGACACGGAAGGAACTATTGGCCATTGTCAAGTCCATAGACCATTTTCACAAGTACCTATATGGACAACATTTTAAAGTTCGGACCGACCATGCTGCATTAAAGTGGTTATTGCAATTGAAGACTCCGGAAGGCCAACTAGCACGCTGGATAGAAAAACTGCAGCAGTACGATTTTAAAACCGAACATCGTCCTGGAAAATCCCATAGAAATGCAGACGCTCTCTCCAGAAGACCCTGTCGGGAAGACTGCAAGCACTGCCACAGGATGGAAAAACAACAAGGGATAATAATTGTAAACACCGTTAAAATTGATGTTCCTGACGATTGGACAAAAGAGACATTAAGAGAAGAGCAGTTAAAAGATCAAGAAACTGGTCCTATTCTGGAATGGAAAGCAAGAGGAGCCCGACCTGGCTGGAAGGACATTTCAGACAAGGCAGTGGGACTGAAGGCTTTGTGGGCACAATGGGATTCCCTTAGAGTAGAGGATGGACTGTTGAAAAGAGCTTGGGAAAGTCCAGACGGGAAGAAAATTTCTTTGAGATTGGTAATTCCCAGGTGTCGCATACCAAAAGTACTCCAGGAAGTGCATAATGGAACATCTGGTGGACATTTTGGCATCAACAAAACTCTCACTAAAGTACGCGAACGATTCTACTGGGTGAACAGTCGCCAAGATGTGGAGGCTTGGTGCAGCAAATGTGAAGTTTGTGCGGCAAGTTAGGGACCACAGACAAGAAGTAAGGGTCAAATGAAACAATATAACGTAGGGGCTCCTTTTGAGCGAATTGCGATCGACGTAGCTGGTCCATTCCCCGTGACGGATGATGGGAACAAATACATCTTAGTTGCCATGGACTATTTCAGTAAGTGGCCTGAAGCTTATGCCATACCCAACCAAGAAGCAGCCACTGTCGCTCAAGCTCTGGTAGATAATCTAGTATGTCGATTTGGCGTGCCCCTAGAATTGCATTCGGATCAAGGAAGAAACTTTGAATCAGGGTTGTTTCAGAAGATGTGTCGCTTACTGGGAATTCACAAGACAAGAACAACAGCCCTACATCCACAATCAGACGGAATGGTAGAGAGATATAATAAAACTATGGAGGAGCACCTATCTAAAGTGGTTGAGAAACATCAGAGCGATTGGGACCGTCACTTACCTCTTTTCCTTATGGCCTACAGGGCCTCCATTCATGAAACAACAAAACAAACGCCGGCTCGCGTGATGTTTGGACGTGAGATTAGACTGCCATGTGACTTGGTATTTGGCACACCAGATGAGGAGCGACTTTCCATAAATGACTACGCCGATGAAGTAGGTGAACGGCTAAGGAATATTCATGAGCTGGTACGAGACCGAATTGCCATAGCAAGTGATCGCATGAAGGCTCGTTATGATCTTAAGGCAAATTCAGGAGGGTTCCAGGCTGGAGATTTGGTTTGGCTATATAACCCACAACGAAAGAAAGGCAGGTCCCCGAAGCTTCACCCGCCCTGGGAAGGTCCTTACACTGTCGTCACCAGACTAAACGACGTTGTATATAGAATTCAGCAAAGCCCAAAATCCAAGATGAAGGTGGTGCATATAGAGAGACTAGCCAAGTATGCAGGGAACAATGAATTGCCTGATCAGGACGTTCAGGCTTAAGGAGGGGGCAGTGTTACGCCACTGGACTGTGCAGACTGGTTAGATTAGGCTGGAATTGTACACGAACGGCCGGGAATATTCTGGAGTGCTCTAGACCGGGAGAATGGATGTATAAATAAGACGCACGGTGGGCTGAGATTCAATCTTAAGTTGAACGTGAACGAGTAAAGAAGCAATAATAAATATAGTTTAAAAAAACTAAAAAACACGCTTTTAAAGCACATCAAACTAAAAAGTGAAAAATAATTATTAATATAAACTGAAAACAATAATGAACGAAAAATACTAGTATTATTGTGAAAAAAGCGTGGGGTGCTCGATATACGAAAAATATTGCACAAAGCACCCCACGCTTTTTTCACAATAATACTAGTATTTTTCGTTCATTATTGTTTTCAGTTTATATTAATAATTATTTTTCACTTTTTAGTTTGATGTGCTTTAAAAGCGTGTTTTTTAGTTTTTTTAAACTATATTTATTTTTAACTTTTTAGTTTGATGTGCTATGAAAGCGTGTTTTTTAGTTGTTTTAAACTATATTTATATTGCTTATTGATGCTGATATTATAACATATTACGATCCAACAGATATTTCTGAAAAAAAAAATATTTTTTTATTTCAGCCGTGAGGTTCGAACTCACGCCGGAGGAGTCCGTCGTTTCGCGTCGACTGCCTTAACCCACTCGACCACCGAGCTAATTAACAATTACTGAATCTACTCACATATTAAGCCTTTGCTTTCACGCAGGGATACATGAGGAAAGGATTGGCGATCCTGATCAGGATAATGATATAAACTTATCAAATTATTGTATTGTTACCGGTTCTTCGTAAGTGTACAAAGTTTCAATTAAATCTGTCCGTTTAAAGTGGGTCAAAATCGAGTCCAAAGAGTCGGTTACAAACAAACAAGCAAACAAACAAACAAACAAGCAAACATACAGGTGAAGCTAATAAAAGCGTGTTAAAAAAAGAGACTTATAAGTGTTCTAGTGTGATTATAGTTACGACAGTAATTAATCTATTGTTATTAATTGTTAATTAGTAAATAAAGTAGTGAATAAGTGTTACCTGGACTTTCAATCAACGAATCTACGAGTAGAGGTGTTTGTGTGGATAGCAAACACGTAACAATATGTTACCTCCTATGTTACATCAATAGATGATAATGTTTCCTATATTTCATGACTGCTATTTGAAAAAGAGAATTGAAAATTGCAATAGTATTCGCTACTTAGAACTTCACGTTTTAAAGATATCGTGATGTGATTTTCAATCTTTTAGAGCACAATAGGTCTTTCCATTAGCAGAACAGAGGATTTAAGAATAATCGCCTTCTAGTTTTTCTTACCAGCTTATTTTTCTGTGTAAAAGCAGATATCTCGAATGGCCGATTGCACCGTAGTATTAAACTCTGTTTAAATTTAAGTTTCATTTAGAATGTGACTTTCCTTATTACTGTATAAATAGTCTAGTTCACAAGTTAGAAACGGTGTTAATTAGTGATAAAGGTCGTAAAAATATGGGCGATAGCTCATTGGATTCGGAATGACGTCTAGAAAAATGTATAAAAATTGTTTACCAACACATAAAAAATTGCAAAAGTTATTAACAAATTAAGATAAAAAAAAAGACATTTAGTTTTTCGCAAATAATTCAGGAACTATTAATAATTAAGAAATTAAAAAAAAAACGGATTCTTAGAGGACGAAATTTCCGATAAAAAAGTCCTAGCTCCCGGAACTGTACCTCCATTATTAATAATTTTAATTTATTGGTGAAAATAGTGCTCCGCGCGGCGAGTGCGACGCTGCCGCAGACCTCAGAATCCGACCGTAGCAACAAAGAAAAATTTTTTTAGCTATAAAATATTAATTAAAAAATTTCAAAAAATTATCGGATCATCTAGACATCTCAAGGAACAATATCCATTTAAGAAAAATTTTTTTTTCAGTAATTTTTCATAAAATGCGCTTATTGTTAATTAACATTTTTTTTTTGAGTTCACGTTTATATTTATAATCAGATAATTGTTAAACTAAAGACGTGAAAATTATAACCGATGATGGATACATTGTGACAAGTATACTTTATGAAATAATCACATCACGATATTTTTAATTGTTATAGTTCATTAGTTATTAATCTTTTACGTTAACAAAAAACTAATAAACGATAAAAAAGGTGAAATTTTTTTTTTATTGTTAATAATCATTTTTTAAACTTTTTTTCATTATTTAAATAATAGATTAACAAAAGATTTTTTTTCTAAATTTATCATTTGCAATTTTCACTATTTATTATCACTAATTAACACCGTTTTTAAATTGTGAACTAGACTAAAATGTAGATGTCACCATCTAAACTCTACTTAAGTATAAACTAAGTTTAAATTTGAGGTGGAATAAGCCATAAATGTTTCTCTTGGATGTAATATTACTTACATGTCGATATATTACTTAATTCACTGAAATTTTAACAGTTTGTTTGACATTAGTAAACAGCCTGCATAAAAAAATGATTTCTTATTCGCCTTTCATATCCCCGAGGTAAACACCTGAAGATCCTAGGATTTTGTATTAGGTAAGAGAGACGAGGCACTACAGTTTTTTGTGGTGTATGGACCATATTTACGGCATCGATAATTCCCCCCATCTTAGTCCTCTCCAAAAGGTACGTTTTTCCCGTTGTTCTCTTTTTTAAATGGTTTTGAGTTCATTAAAATTTTGTTTATAGTTTTTTATTTTCTCTACACAAGAAATTATTTGTAATTAAAATAAAATCACTTGAGGATAACATCTAATCCTAGTCTTATAGTTAGGAAAACTACTAGTAAGACTCTTGTGTCACTCGATTGAGGATAGAATCCGACAAAGTGGACCGGAAGTTAATATTCGATTTCATAGTGTGGCTTCGTAATCGAGTGGTAAGTAGACTTGCCTCTCAGCCTGGAGTTCCGGGTTCGATCCCCGGTCGAAGACTAGGATTTTTCTAAAACCAGAAATTAATCCTGGCATACTCGGACATTGCTTATGTGTCCATTGTCTTTAAATGTGTTGCCCTCTTCCATATAAAGTACCTTGAGGTACTTACAGAGATACAGGAGGTTGTATTATCTGTGGTGTTTAATTTTTTTAATAGGTTAACTCGTGTTCGATGCGATAACCATAGCTTGAACCTATACACTGCTACCAACTATATATTTTGAAATATACCCCAGTCACCGCGAATATCTCAGGCCGGATAAATTCATGGACATTACTATTTTTTTTTTAATTTTTTTTTTAATATTATTAAACAATAAGGTGCTATCTAGCTAGACTTTCTTCGTGAATACCCGGTTTTCAGTTTAGGTTTCATGATACTATACACCGATAGGATTTTAGTGTCATTCGCTTGCGGATAGAGTCCAGTCCCAATGTTATAGTTAGGAAAACTATTAGTAAGATTCTAGTATCACTCGTTTGAGGATTGAATCTGACGAAGTGGTTCGTGACTTTAAACACGATTTTACCCTATAAGGAACATAGAGGACAACCTAGTCATATACCACTCGACAAGTCTACGTTAGACGCCAGTCGGGAACATCCGGGTTTCAGTTTAGGTTTTTATAATACCATATACCGATTGGATTCTAGTGTCACTCGCTGACGATAGAATCAGATTCCATCCAGTGTTATAGTTAGAAAACCATTAGTAAGATTCTAGTGTCACGCGTTGAGGATAGAATCTGACGAAGTGGTCCACGAGTTAGAATACGATTTTACCCTAGTAAGGGACATAATGGCCAACCTAGATATATAATACCATCGCGATTAGAAATTCTTATTAATCATCAGTCACTAGATTGATATCTTGCCGTAGTGTCACGCTTGTACACCGTAACCATTTGCACCTGGACATTGTTGCACACACCGTCTGCTGTAATACTGCTACCGCACTAGTTGCTATAAAATCATTAATCACTTGCTAGATACCAGTAGTAGTAGTAATTGCCGTAACTTACCTGTACATGATTTACCTGCTTGCATTATCATTGTAAATAACAATAGTAGTAGATTCCGTAATTCAGCTGTATTTGATATACCTGCTTGCATTATCTTTATAAATTTCAGTAGTAGTAGTTTCCGTAACTTAGCTGTATTTTATTTACATGCTTACATTATCAGTATAAATGTTAGTAACAATATTGCAAAATGATTTGAATTGCTTCCAAATTGATGATTTAGTTTTCACTGCATCTTTCGGAATATTGTCTTTTATGGAATTTTTTATATTTTCACTTGTGCTGCTTTCAAATCTAAAATAATACAAACTCTTACTTTCACTTATTAACGGTGTGAATAATAAAATCGATATGTTGACAGATCAACGTGACATCAGCTAAAAATTAATTTCTTACAAAGAACAATATCTTTTTATGGTTGCCATAGTGAAGGTAAATAAAAGTTTTGCCGTGAAAAAACACGAAGTTTTTTCAGTTCTATTACTGGTAAACATTTTATATATTCTAGAGTGTGTAATTTGACAAGAGTGGAAATGTCAGTTAAAAAGCAAATAATTAGGAAACATATTTAAATATCTATGGAAACAGAATGTTTGAAAATGTTATTCAAAATTACAAATAATAGGCTTCCGAAAGAGCAGTTTCGGAAGCAAAAAAGTATCACACTGAACAAACCACAGAACATCAAAATTACTAAAACAACAAGTTATAATTGCCAAACGACAATGGTGGCAGCAGTACACGATCAACAAATATGTGGATAGTGGGGTATGAGGAATTAAGATGACTGAGAGAGCAATATGGAACGCATTTATCTGCATATGTTGCGCCTATTTACATTTCTTGACTCAACGGTAATAAACAGTTTAAAACTGTCGAAAACATGTTTTTCTGGCAAGGTGTTTTAAACAGGTTTAAAAAAAAATCTGTTTAAACAAAAAAAAACAGGATGTTTTTTTAAACATGTCTTTTATCAACCCTCATAAAATCAAAATATGAAATTCGGAACTGTCGTAGATTGCTTATTGGAGCAAAGCTATTATTATGTTATTAATTCGTTGTATAATTAATAAATACGTTCTTTACGTGTTTTTCAAATATTGAAAAAAAATTATATAAATTAACTGACTTGCATTTTCTTAACTAGTATTAAAATTAATATCGCTGTTTTATGCATAATATTATAATCAAATAAACTAATAGATAAAATGTATGGTTTCGATTTTACCATGAGATAATCTGAAAATACAATACACCTTTTAACTTAGGATTAAATTTTTCAAATATTTTTACTACGTGTTGTGTGTACCATAAATTCCAACAAGTACTCACCTTAAATTTATCAATAAGTATTTGATTAAGAAGATCTGAATGAGGCCTGGATCCTTTACCGAGCTGTGGCCTTCTTCTAACAGTTGGGGGGCTGTCGAGTTCGTCTCCTGGAAGGTCTGTGTCGTGAGATTCTGAACTGTCACCTGCGCCCCCACAGCTGGGCACCATCTGCAAGGTGGTATTGTTTGAACATGTTTTGATTTATAATACTATTTTGGGAAGTAGGTATAGAAGTTTTATGATGGTAGATAAAGGAAGCGAAAAAGCGGAAACAAAATTTTTGTCAGCTTGCGAAACTGCTTTCTGGTAAACATACAATTATACTGATTGATTTTTTTTGACGTACCTAATAACAAATACTTTCTAAAAAAACAGATAGAAATTATACAAAATAATTAACAATTAACTGATAAAATAAGCAACAATTTCTAATTAACTTTCCTTTAAGATTATTTTAAAAAAAAATTCTGATAAAGCCTATAAAATTATAAATTCTATGCTTAGTATTTTTTTTGGGCAATATAGGAATATTTTGTATCCGCCTTGTAGAATTTTTGGTTATTGCTAGATGTAAATACGTATAGTTAGGAAGTAGGGAATCGAGTAAAATTTTACAATTAATGTAACATTATGAGGGTAATTAAAAACTAGATATCATTAATTTCATCATCAGATGCTTGATATTTGTAAAATTGGAATCAGTTCTTGACATTTAACTTTGATACCTAACGAGCTGAGCCCCATTCTTGTTGATACATGGAGATTGGAGATAAGTACAATATGACCAAAAGGTGGAATGAGTGGAAGGGTGTGAAAACTCACCCACTTTAAAAACAAAGGAGGATCATTTTATGCCAAAACAACTAAGCAAAAATGTTGCCCCTTCAATTTTAATAGTTTTTGGTGAGACAGTTGAGCCTATTGATTTCAAGAGAACGTTATTATTATTATTTTTTTAAAAACCTTCGAAAATCCTAAAAATACCAAATTCTCTAGACTCCAGACAATTTTCAATCATCATGATCATATTTTGCAGAAAAAGTTCACGTGGCCTTGAAAGTAAAAGATAAGGTCACAATAATTAATAATCCATATACAGATGTATATAAAACAAAAACGCCAATTAAAAAAAAGGCGGTTTTACACGTTTCAGATAACGAAATTATAAACGTTTAATATTAGTATATGTGAAACGAATATGTTAGATATTTTAAAACGTATTACTAGTATACGTAACTCCAACACGTTTTAAAGACGTTTCTGTTCGACCTCAGTGAACTAATCAGTTGATATGGACGTGTTATGAAATTTTATGAGAACAGTTTTATAAACGCCTTAAATAGCAAGTGTTGTCAAAACTGTCAAAAGGAGGGCCAAAATTTTTTGTGAAAAAATAACGTATTTTTAACGTTAGACCGTTATTTTTTCAACAATAAATGTACTGTTGATTTTCTAACGTAACACGAATTATCAACCAATGACGTATATGTGTTTACTGGGTATAAACCTCCACACTTATAGGGTTAGTGTTAATATTACTTATGATCCTCACTTTTTTGCGATAAATCATACAAAAGTCGCTTTAAATATAGGTAGGTATATCACAAAAAAAATTGTAACACTAGGAAATTATGATTTAGCTTTTTTTTTTAAATTCAAATTAAATGTTAAAGTTATAAAGGTATAATAAAAATTATAATACCAAACTACACGATATATACTATATAATTTGTAAATTAAATGTTCAAGTTTCTTCCACTTACTTCTTGTTTTATTTTATGAAAATAAAATACCTCTAATTTTCTTCCCCAGAGTTCTTTTGGACATCGCAGAGAATATGTGTTTCGATATAAAATTGATTATTTTTTTCGTTAATATTGGAAGAGAGGTGAGCAGGGTACGTGTATCCATCTTCACGAACCCCAGAAAGAGATTATCACGTATCTGAAGTACAGGCACGAATTTCTCAATATAATCTGGATTTCTAATTCAATACTAATAAAATGTTCCCTACATGTAAGCTGCCATACTGTGGACAATTTATATTGGCTACATATTAACCAATTATAGAAGGTTACGAGACCGCTGATATTTAAATCGTGTTTACCGCACACGTTAGTCTATTTCCGTGATTATTTATTAATGTTTTTATTTTCCAATCATTTAGCAGTATCTTTGATGAAGTGTTTAATTTTTTCCAATTATATTGTTATTATAGTGAGAATAATCTAATTATATTATCCTACTGAGAATATTTTGTAGTTATTTGTTTTTGTACATTGACCTGTTTTCTGGTTTTGACATCTGTTACCAGTTTTATTTTAAATTTAAAAAAATGAACCAAAAACGATTTAGTTCAGCGCCAGTGGAAAAAACTATCATACAAACTAAAGAAAATGCATGTAAAAATACTATGGTAAGTAATAATTCGATACGGAAACATTTCCCAATCATTTTGTGACGAAAGGGGTTACAAACTAAAGGAAAATATACCAGTCACGGACGAAACAGTTACAATAATTGTTTTCATGTTTAAAACTTTAGCATAGTTTAATTTTGATGCACATAAATTTACTTCATTTAGTATAAATTGAGACAATTGTTAAAAAAAAGTTAAACATTTATATTTTGTCTTTCGTTTTCT